TAGCACTTTACTAGATATACATACCGTATTTTTCTGAGTATAAGACCTCAAAAAAGAGGGTGAAAATCCGGGTGCGTCTTCTATACTGAATACAGCATTTTTTGCCTCCTGAAACCCTGCCCCCTTTGCAAAAATGGCCGTGCATAGCCTTTAGCAGGCTTCCAGAGTGCTCCTGGGGGCTGGGAAGGGCAAAAATGAATGAAAAAAGGCCGTGTTTTGCTCATTTTTGTCCCCCCAACCCCAGGAGCACTCTGGAAGCCTCCTAAAGGCTATGCATGCCCCTTTTTTTGATTAAAAAACGGGCCACTTTAGCGAAAAATGGGCCGTTTTCGCTCATTTCTCCCCCCCCCAGCCCTCAGGAGCACTTTACAAGCCTCCTAAAGGCTATGCATGCCCCTTTTTGACAAAAAATAGGCCCATTTTCACAAAAAAAGGGGCGTTTTTACAGACTGCAAAAACTTTTTTTTTTAATTTGCCTCTTCAAAATCTTGGTGCATCTTATATTCTGGTGCGTCTTATACTCCAAAAAATATGGTAGTTTGAAATGCTATTGCTAGAGTCAAAAGGGAATCTCTAGGTTGAAATCAGCTCTGCATTGGTCAGCCGCAGGGTGGAATGGATTTCTCCATTAGTGCAGCTTGATTTACTAGAGTTTGCTAAAAGAAACTACTCGGTGGTTGTTTTGGATCATTTTGGTCTCCTCTACACCACAGAGATTTTCTCTTTAGCCAAACAAATCTGGGCAGGCTTAAGTGCCACTACAATCTGGTTTTTACATGACTGGGAAAGGACTGGGCAGTTCTTGGTTTCCCTTTCAGATCAACAAGTTTGTAACTAAATAGAGTAATCAAATGTACCTGCAGTCTCTAAGCCTCACATAACATTTATCTCGGTTTTCCCTTTCCTTTTGTTTCTAAATATAAGACCCCCTCTCCTGTCACTAGCTCCCAAGGCCCAGAAGTGTCTATTTTTTTTAATTATTTTTAGAAACCAAAACCGATTGGTGATGGTGGTGAAATAATATACATGGAGAAACAGCTGATTGTCACATTCTCTTTCAAAAAGGAAAAACGTTCAAGTGTTTAGATTGGCACAATTCTAGCTGTCTACATGCCTTGGTCTCCAAATGTTGACCAGAATCTCATTTGCAAAACTAAGATGAAAGTTGAAGTTTGTCCAAGTCTACATGGCTTCTGAATAATTTTTTTGCTATTTTTTTTCTTGAAACATGATAAGAGTAAAGAAACTATTGTGTATATGGGTAGAAGGACAATATCCTTTCCTTTAGTTTATTTTATTCATCATCATTCATCATGAACATGAGCAACGGTGACGCAGTGGTTAGAGTGCAGTACTACAGGCTATTTCAGCTAGCGGCAGTTCGGCAGTTCAAATCTCACCAGGCTCAAGGTTGACTCAGCCTTCCATCCTTCCGAGATGGGTAAAATGGGGACCCAGATTGTTGGGGGCAATATGCTGACTCTGAAAACCGCTCAGAGAAGGCTGTAAAGCAGTATATGTCTAAGTGCTAAGTGGTACTGCTATCATAGCAGGCCTTTGTTCTTCTACTTCCCAGGATAAAATAAAATATTGTCTACATACAAACAGACGCAGAGAATTGTTTAGGTTTTTTTAATGACCCAGTCCATACCTGGTTTGATGAGCAACAGGGGAAAAACAAGTTGTAGAAGTCACACAGTGGCTTTCTAATTCTGGGCATTATGTCTATCAATTGTGATAGATGAGACAGTTTTAACTCTGAGTTTTACTGATATTCTAGTTTTATGATTATTGACTTTGTTTTACTATTTTGCAAAAACCACCTTCAGTCTTAGATGGAGGTGGCATAAAAAGAAATCTATCAATAAATAAAATAGGAAAATCCACATTGTGGGTGAAGAAGCCTTGTTGAGTCCACATTTAGAAGAAGAATCTGTCTTCACGGTCAAGACAGTGGCATGTTAATTTTAATGCAAGGATGCCAATAATCACAGCAAGCACTTAACTTGAGAGTATCCCTACAAACTCAAGAGTATAAAGGTAGTCCTTGACTTACAAGTTTGTTTAGTGACTATTCAAAGTTACAACGGCACTGAAAAATAATCACACTTATGACTGCTGCTGCATCCCCACGATCATGTGATCAAAATTATGACAGTTGCAGCATCCCGGGGTGGGGGGGGAGAATGTGTGTGTCACGTGATCCCCTTTTGTGACCTGACATGCAAAGTC